TTTTTTATTAAAATAACCTCTTTATAATCGCATTTTAAGCAACTTTTATTCGAAACTTTTTTCGATATCTCAATTTTTTTTAATAAAGCCCGATCTACACGTTTAAAATCATAAGAGTGCACAGCCTTAATTAAGGGTTATATCAAATTTTTTTATTAAAATAATATTTTTTAAACGCCATTTTAAGCAAGTATTACACGAAAAATTTTTTCGTTTGACCCAAAATTTCGACCGCGACCGAATTCCCCACTTGTAGCTCTTATTTCGGATCCCGGCGTTGAGAGAGAAGTCGTTCGGCTTGTTTAGGTTTCGGAGGAATCCAAAACTGCTTCGCCTTCTTCTTCTTCATCTTCTGCATCTTCTTCTTCATCTTCATCATCCTCGATTTTCGTTTCTTTTCGCAACTTAAGACGGGAATAATGGTAATTAAAAGATTACCCTCTTCATTACAACATGTTTCTTTTATTAATAAGACATCGTCTTCGTTCCTCTTCTTCCTTATTTCTCCTTCTCGCGTCAAAACTTTTTTATTTATTTATTTTTTTTTATTTTCTCAACACACATTTTGCATTCGCGAATCACGACAACTTCTTGATCGGAGATGAAAATTCCGAAATTAATTATTACGTCACGCGATGTTACTTTTAGTGATTGCTAAACGTCTCTCTGCTTGTCTCCCTTCGTCTTCTTCTTCGCGTCGTTGCGGTTTGTTTTGATGATTAAATTTTTTTCTAATTTTTTGAGACACTATTTTTTAATAATAATATTTATATTGGTTAAAAGGTGCCCCCTTTTGTGGTGTAGGTATTATTTAAGTATGGAAAAAAGGAATGATCGAAAAAAAACCGGTTTCATTTCGAGTCGGAACGCGGTTCCTACGAGAAGAGTCCTTTTCGGGTCTCGTTTTTCTCTCTTTTTTGGTTTATTTCTTCCGAGTTTTATTGGATCTTTTTGGCCGATGCTCCGAGAACAATTACAACGGTCGAGAGCGCGAGTATGGCAATTACAAATTATGTCACTTTCTTGAGATGTCACGAACACAAAAAAAAATCTTTCGTAATAAATACGGATTTTTACGCATATCTAAATGCGATATCGAAAAATTTCTTTAATAAAAATTGCTTATAAACCGATTCTTAACAAGTTTTGTTAGAAACATTTTTTAATAAAGACGATATTCTTCAAGGTGCAATTTTACCGTACTATTCAGTGGGAAATTAAAATGTTAAAATTTCAAAATTTTGTATTAAAAAAAAATATTACTTATTTAATTCTAAACAAATATTATTAACAAAAATGTTTGATATAATCAATAATTATTAAGATAACCTCAAAAATCTTGATTTTGATATCAGTGTGGAGAGCCATCTGGTGGAGGTTTAAATTTCTTTCATTAAATAATAGATTTTGAATGATAATTAAAATAACTATTATAGGAAACATTCTGCGATAAAAATGATATGCTTCGAAATGCAATGAGTTACATTTCATACTATTCAGAGGGAAATTAAAATTTAAAGATAGAAAAAAATTGTATTAACAAACACTATTCCTGAAGCAATTTTAAACAAATTTTGTTAACAAAATTTTTTGATTTGATGATTAATTGAGGACATAACCTCAAAATAATTTTTATATATTTAGACAAAATTACGCGTAGACGCTTAATTAATAGAGATGGAAACATTTTTTATTAAAATAATCGTCTTAAAATCGGAATTGAAACAAATTTTGTTTAAAAAATTTTTTGATAAAATCAATAATTATTGAGATATCCTCAAAAATATTAATTTTTACAGCATACTATTCAGTGGGAAATTAAAATTTAAAGATAGAAAAAAATTGTATTAACAAACACTGTTCCTGAAGAAATTCTAAACAAATTTTGTTAACAGAATTTTTTGATTAAATCAATAATTATTGAGATATCCTCAAAAATATTAATTTTTACACCATACTATTCAGAGGGAAATTAAAATTTAAAGATAGAAAAAAATTGTATTAACAAACACTGTTCCTGAAGCAATTCTAAACAAATTTTGTTAACATAATTTTTTGATTAAATCAATAATTATTGAGATATCCTCAAAAATATTAATTTTTACACCATACTATTCAGTGGGAAATTAAAATTACAAGTTAGAAAAAAATTGTGTTAATAGAAATTGTTCCTGAAACAATTTTAAACAAACTTTGTTGGCAAAATTTTTTGATTCAATCAATAATTAAGGAGATAACCTCAAAATAATAATTTTTCTATTTTTATACATAATTACACTTATATGCTTAATTAATAGAGATGTAAATTTTTTTTAATAAGATAATCGATTCAAAATGGAAATTGAAACAAATTTTATTTAAAACATTTTTTGATAAAAACAATAATTATTGAGATAACCTCAAAAATATTAATTTTGGTAGCATACTATTCAGAGGGAAATAAAAATTTAAAGATAGAAAAAAATTGTATTAACAAACACTGTTTCTGAAGCAATTCTAAACAAATTTTGTTAACAGAATTTTTTGATTAAATCAATAATTATTGAGATATCCTCAAAAATATTAATTTTTACAGCATACTATTCAGAGGGAAATTAAAATTTAAAGATAGAAAAAAATTATATTAACAAACACTGTTCCTGAAGCAATTTTAAACAAATTTTGTTAACAGAATTTTTTGATAAAATCAATAATTATTGAGATAACCTCAAAAATATTAATTTTTAGAGCATACTATTCAGTGGGAAATTAAAATTTCAAGTTAGAAAAAAATTGTGTTAACACAAATTGTTTCTGAAACAATTTTAAACAAACTTTGTTGGCGAAATTTTTTGATTCAATCAATAATTAAGGAGATAACCTCAAAATAATAATTTTTTTATTTTTATACATAATTACACTTATATGCTTAATTAATAGAGATGTAAATTTTTTTTAATAAGATAATCGATTCAAAATCGAAATTGAAACAAATTTTATTTAAAACATTTTTTGATAAAAACAATAATTATTGAGATAATTAATTTTGATAGCATACTATTCAGAGGGAAATTAAAATTTCAAGTTAGCAAAAAATTGTATTAACAAACACTGTTCCTGAAGCAATTCTAAACAAATTTTGTTAACAGAATTTTTTGATTAAATCAATAATTATTGAGATATCCTCAAAAATATTAATTTTTATAGCATACTATTCAGAGGGAAATTAAAATTTAAAGATAGAAAAAAATTGTATTAACAAACACTGTTCCTGAAGCAATTTTAAACAATGTTTGTTAACAAAATTTTTTGATAAAATCAATAATTATTGAGATATCCTCAAAAATATTAATTTTTAGAGCATACTATTCAGTGGGAAATTAAAATTTAAAGATAGAAAAAAATTGTATTAACAAACACTGTTCCTGAAGCAATTTTAAACAATGTTTGTTAACAAAATTTTTTGATAAAATCAATAATTATTGAGATATCCTCAAAAATATTAATTTTTAGAGCATACTATTCAGTGGGAAATTAAAATTTAAAGATAGAAAAAAATTGTATTAACAAACACTGTTCCTGAAGCAATTTTAAACAAATTTTGTTAACTAATTTTTTTGATTTAATCAATAATTAAGGAGATAATCCCAAAATAATAATTTTTATATATTTATACATAATTACACATAGACGCTTAATTAATAGAGACGTAAATTTTTTTTATTAAGATAATCGTTTTATAACTAAATTGAAACAAATTTTATTTAAAAAATATTTTGATAAAAGCAATAATTATTGAGATAATTAATTTTGATACCATACTATTCAGAGGGAAATTAAAAGTTGAAATTAGAAGAAAATTGTATTAACAAACTCTGTTCCTGAAGCAATTCTAAACAAATTTTGTTAATAAAAATTTTTGATTTAATCGATAATTAATGAAATAACCTCAAAAAATAACTTTTCTATATCAATATACAGCGAGATTTAATCGAGATATCGATTTTTTTTATTAAGAAAATCGTTTTAGAATTTAATTTAGAGCAATTTTTATTAAAAACAATTTTTCGATTTATTAATTTTATCAATAAAGCCCGATTCACACGATTGAGTGATCAAATTTTTTTATTAACATTATTTATTTAAAATTGAAGTTTAAGCAAAAATTCGATTTTAATAAACAAACGGAACGTTAATTAAGCATAATCTCCATTTAAATACCTCAAATTTTCATCTTCCAAAGAATTTAAACTCTTCATATTCATAAGTCTCAATCCCCAACACCTCGCTATATTTGTACAAAATTATTTGCTGTTTGTTCGTGCGGAACACGACACTCTTCAAGGTCTAATGATGTAAATAGTTTATTTTAACATTTTTTTCTTCGTTTTTTTTTCTTTTTGGCAAACAAAGCAAATTTTAGTTATTTTTTTAACAAAGCCTAATTTTTTTATTGCTACACCCGCGCGTTTGCTTTCCGTTGTGTTATCATTAAATAATTAAATATTGTTACAATAAAATTAGAGAAAGCTCCTTTTTCTTTCGCCGACGCATAAATTTGATAATAATTCCGACGAAAACGGTGTCTCAACGACGGCGATTATAAAAGGGGTAACCAAAAAAATCCGTTTTATTATTTGTTTTTCAACGGCAAACTCAAACTTAGTTAATTATTAAGAAATTTTTGTGGGGAGTTTAATTTGCATAAATATTGGGATTTAAGTTTGTTTTCTTTGGGCGAAATTCCTTTCTTGTTCGGGGCAAAAATTTACATAATACGTTGTAATTTAGTTCGGGCGAAGTGTTGGGGAAATTATAGAAATTTAGTTTTGAGCGCGCCTCGAAACCGAAATAACCTTATTTAGCACTTTGCCACCGTTTAATTTATCGTTTAGGAGTCGAAAAAATGGAAAAGTTAAATAAAGTTTTTTGATAAAACGGAAATCAAAACCGAAAAAGATAAATTCGATATATCGAATTTCTTCGGTGTAACCTAAGAAGTTAAAAATTTTTATTTTTACCTTATCGTGGTTGTTTTAATTGCATTTTTCCACAAATCACCCCACAAATCACCAAAAAAAAAGAAATATTTGGCACAACACAAATGATTAAGGATTTTAATAAAAGTTTTTTTGGGGGGAATCGCCCCCAAACACTTAATTTATGATTTAATTATTTCACTCAAAAATCCTTTTAGTTAATTTACAAAAAAAAACAAAAATCAAAGGCGGCGGATTTCGATCGCGGACGACGATCAGCGGCGTACTGACGCCGGCGTCGCGGTTTCAACGCCGGCTGAACATCCCCACCACTTCGCGTGAGTTTGAGCCGCCCGGCCCCCGTCGCGGAGTCTCCGCACAAGCTTCAAAAAAAGGGGGGCTCCGTTCGCCTCTCTGGGAGTTTTGCCCCCACGCGCCAACGTCGCGGCGCCGACGACGACGACGACGAATTTCAAACCAGAGAGAGGAATCCCTGAAATCGCATTGGCTGGAACTAGCTCGCCTACCGCGACGCGCGAGCAAACGATGTTGATGATGATGGCACGAGGTTTCGTATCGCTTTCGTTGGGGAAAAAGCGATTTTTAGGGGGGAAAGGGGGCGTTCGCATCGACGTCGCGACGCTTATCCCCCCTTTATCGTCCCTCGAATGACGAACTCGTGGGAATTTTGCTACGAATCAAGGCGTGGCTTTAAATCCTTACATCTTTGCCATCAATTTTATTAAGAATGTTTGTGATTGCGTCGCTGAGTTCTAAATCTATATAAAATGTGGGTGCGACTAATTCCAACTTGTTCCAACTAATTGAAAAATTTTTTAAACGCAAAAAATCTAGAAAAATCGATATAATTTGAGAACTGAATTTGAATTTTATAAAATTAAAGAACTTTTTGATAAAAGCAATTATTATTTATTGAGATAACCTCATAAATAATTATTATGCCGTACTGTTCAGTGGGAAATTAAAATTTCAAGTTAGAAAAAAATTGTGTTAATAAACACTGTTCCCCAAGCAATTTTAAACAAATATTGTTAACAACATTTTTTGATTCAATCATTAATTAAGGATATAACCTCAAAAATCTATTTTTATATATAATATATAATTATATATAATTACAATTAAACACTTAATTAATAGAGGTATAAAATTTGTTTATTAAGATAATTGTTTTAAAATTGAGATTGGAACAAATTTAGTTTGAAAAATTTTTCGATAACCTCAAAAATATTAATTTTTACAGCATACTATTCAGAGGGAAATTAAAATTTCAAGTTAGAAAAAAATTGTATTAACAAACTCTGTTCCCCAAGCAATTTTAAACAAATATTGTTAATAAAATTTTTTGATTCAATCATTAATTAAGGATATAACCTCAAAAATTAATTTTTATATATAATATATAATTATATATAATTACAATTAAACACTTAATTAATAGAGGTATAAAATTTGTTTATTAAGATAATTGTTTTAAAATTGAGATTGGAACAAATTTAGTTTGAAAAATTTTTCGATAACCTCAAAAATATTAATTTTTACAGCATACTATTCAGAGGGAAATTAAAATTTCAAGTTAGAAAAAAATTGTATTAACAAACTCTGTTCCCCAAGCAATTTTAAACAAATATTGTTAATAAAATTTTTTTATTTAATCATTAATTAAGGATATAACCTCAAAAATTAATTTTTATATATAATATATAATTATATATAATTACAATTAAACACTTAATTAATAGAGATATAAAATTTGTTTATTAAGATAATTGTCTTAGAATTGAATTTGAAACAAGTTTTGTTTGAAAAATTTTTTGCTAACCTCAAAAATATTAATTTTTACAGCATACTATTCAGAGGGAAATTAAAATTTCAAGTTAGAAAAAAATTGTATTAACAAACACTGTTCCCCAAGCAATTTTAAACAAATCTTATTAACAAAATTTTTTGATTCAATCATTAATTAAGGATTTAACCTCAAAAATTAATTTTTATATATTATATATAATTATATATAATTAGAATTAAACACTTAATTAATAGAGATATAAAATTTGCTTATTAAGATAATTGTTTTAAAATTGAAATTGAAACAAATTTTGTTTGAAAAATT